ACCACCCGCGGCTGCACCACCGCTGACTTTGAGAAGATTGCGTCCTTTTTGGATCGGTGCTGCAAGATTGCCTTGAAGGCAGGGGTGTGGGGTTTGCGGCTTTTGAGGCCTCGGTGCCATCGAAGTTGCTCCAGAACGGCGTTTGGTGGCGTGTGGCCTGTGAACCGAGAACATGTTGCTATTCCCTTCTAACAACTCCCCAATTCAGCGGAGGAGCTTCAGAAAAAGAAGTGATATGTCTGACTTACCATTTCTTAAATTGAACGCAAGGATGACATACCTGCCAGAGCCAAACACCCACTCACACACCCACACGCGACATTTGGTTTGTTTGATTATGACTCACCGCATCTCAATGGTTTGCAGCTGGGTGGGTGACGGGAATCTTGCAGTTTGTTTTGAAGTGCAGTGGGGCAGTCACAACTGCCCACAAGCGTCACGGCAAAAAAAAGAGGAAGAGAGCAACGTACTCAATTCCTGCGGCTAAGATGGATGTTCATTCTCTGGTTCACAGGGGGTTCCTTAAGAGAACAAAAGAGCACCATGTTTATGCTCCTCACGAGAAGTATTGATAAGGCACGGCTTGTGGCTTGCTTTGGGATTATTTTGTAGTCATGTGAGCTAGAGTGACCTCACTAGGTTGTAAAGTGACCTCATGTTGAAATGTGGTTGAAGCGTGGTTGAAACGTGGTTGAAATGTGGTTGCAATGTGGATGAAAGGTGGTTGAAAGGTGGGACATATTGGAAGGAGAAACGGGAAATGTGGTTGAAAACGTTGAAGCGCCGGACTAGGAATTGCAAGAGAAACTTCAGAGCACATTTCAACCACATTTCAACCACATTTCAACCACGTTTCGACCACGTTTCAACCACATTTCAACCACGTTTCAGCCACATTTCAACACCAGTTCAACCACATTGCAACCACATTTCAACCACGTTTCAACCACGTTTCAACCACGTTTCAACCACATTTCAACCACGTTTCAACCACGGTTCAACCACGTTTCAACCACATTTCAACCACGTTTCAGCCACATTTCAACCACGTTTCAACCACGGTTCAACCACGTTTCAACCACGTGTCAACCACGTTTCAACCACGTTTCAACCACGTTTCAACCACCTTTCAACCACGTTTCAACCACGTTTTAACCACGTTTCAACCACGTTTCAACCACTTTTCAACCACGTTTCAGCCGCATTTCAACAACATTTCAACCACATTGCAACCACCTTTCAACCACGTTTCAACCACGTTTTAACCACGTTTCAACCACATTTCAATTCACATGTCAACCACGCTTCAACCACATTGCAACCACATTTCAACCACCTTTCAACCACGTTTCAACCACATTTCAACCACATTTTCAGCCACATGTCCAGTTTTTGTTGGTTTCTCCTGGGGATATTGAGCTTTTACCTGAGCCGGGGTTACCTTAGCGAGCTTGGCACTCACAGGTGCAGGAGGAGAAGGGCAAGAAGCTGAAGGATTTCGAGGCGAAACAAGGGGTGTGTGTCGCATATTTGTTTTTGCGTTATGGTGTTGTTGGTTTGTTGTTATTGCTGGTTTGTTGTTGGTTGTTGGTTCCTCTTTCTGGGTTGGTTTGTTGTTGTTTTGTTTTGCGCCTCGCAGCCAACCGTCGATAGCGACGGTCCGCAATATTTTCTGGTTGGTTTGAAGGGATAATTTCGACAGTTTCGGGAAACGAGTAGGAGACTCGAGGGGAACCAACAATTTTTGGAGGATTGCATATCCTTGAGACAGACCCACATGGGTCAAACAATTGGGGTCCCTTCTGAGATGTGCGGAGGTCGAGGTCAATTCTATCAAGACCGATCGGGGTAACCGATCCATGAAGGTCGGTTGTCTAAGGGCTGAGATGCGTTAGGAGTCTCGACATAGGGCGTTTCAAGGTGTCTAGGGGTGCTGCATGCATGCAAGCCATGCCACTACTGGGCGGCCTATGCTTTGTTTGCACTATTGAGGGTCCATACGCGTTGTGGTCAGGTAGCTCACGCTCACTCAGCAACTGGAAGTGATGGAGGGTTCACTTTGGCTGCCATCAAGCATGGGAATGCTAGATTTTCGATTTTGGTTTTCGTGATTTTCCCTATGCTTTGCATGACGTGGAGATGATCCCAAATCGGTCTCCGTACTGAAGCTTCTATGAAACGCCATCCCACCGCGGACAGTTCAAAGCCTGATTCTGCAGCCGTGGAGAGTCCGCGAAGGGTTTACCATTTGGATTGGAGGTTCGGGAAATGCTTGATCCTGCCTTTCCAATGCGTGTCCCGTCCGAACCTGTTTGGAATCCGTTCCGCACCGCGCCTGCACGCTTGCGACTGCTAGTTTTTCTATATTGCTGCACTTTCTTGCCACTTCTATTCATTTGCTTTATTTTCTTAGATGATCCACTGGCTATGCATATGACGGAAGTCTTGCAACTAAGCTTCCTTTGACGAGGCAATGTGTTGCGTGGGGCTAGTTCATTGCTTCCATTTGCAAAAACGGTGTGTGTGTGTGTGCGTTATATGCCAAGGGCAATATGCAACTCTTCTAATCATGTTGGGGACCAAAGTAAACGGGTTTTGGGCGCTGTTCGCTTTCTCGCCCTTGCGCAGCTTTCAGCTGAGGCTGCCCTGCCTGGCAATGCAGACATCGAGGCGTGGAAGTTGCAGTGCTGTGGTAGGGAACATTCCCACAAAGGTCACTGGGAAGCGACGGTTGGCACAGTCCCAGCCAGTCAAAACCAATGGTACCATTTTGGGGTAGGTGCACCACCCATTTTAGTCTATTTTAGTGGGGATTGGGGTGTTCACTGGGTACGGGATGTTGACCCCCAGCCAAATGGGTGTACTTTGGCGCCTTTTTCGATCCTTTGGGTAGGCTCCTTTGGTCTTGCAAAGCACCCGAAGCAGAGGCAAGAGAAACCCGGGGGGCCCGAAAATTCAGCATGGCTCTCTAAACCTAGGGGGCGCAGCATCAAGCGGAAGGGTACCAACTTCTGATACAGGACGGTTACCGTACGAGGCAAGTCTGCGTACTTCATGTCTGGTCTTATTCTGCAAGTATCCCTGCAAGCGAAGCGCACACCCGGTTTTGGCTGCTGGCAGACGCTCACTTGTTCGACTTCTCCACATTGTCGTGCATGTCGTGCTGTGACGGTCTACCAATTGACCTGGCACATTTCCAAAGAAACCCTTTCATGGGTACCGCGTCTGACTGGGGGGGCTTGTAGGTCCAGGCTTGAGCTCGCGGAACTTAGGCGCTGAAGAAGGAGGTGGAGGCTTGGGCCTCCACTTTTGGCTACCCGGGCATCTGAGACCCCCTTCCCCCGCGCGCGTGCGCGTGGCCAGCGAGTTAGCCTGGACTCCCGCGGTGGTCGAGCGGTTGGAACCCACAGATTTGTCGACCGGTTGGTGAAGCCCGAGGGTCCCCATTTTTGCAAGTGTGGTTACGGCAAAAGAGATTGCGAACGAGGGCACCCTTCCTTTCTGTTGGTCCTTTGCATTTGCCAAAGCTTTGCCAAAAGCAAGGTCAGATTTTGGATGACGCGGCTGCATGCCAAGCGGAATCTCAACTCTTGATTCCTCTTTGGCCATATGAACACTTAGCATCGTCGGGGGTGAACCTCCCCTTGCAGCGTGTGTTGCCCCTTAAAACAACCTGAACCCACAGCCAAAAGCCACGGGGCTGGCGCATGAGTTGGAATGACCATTGCCGGGGTCCAGGGCCAGCCAGCAGCCTGATCCTCCCTTTGGGAGCGACGTTGGCTGGTCCCTCTTGTGCCCGCTGTGCGGAAAGCGTGCCTCTCAGGTTTCCGCCAAGGTTAAGCCGAGCACGGACGGCAAACGGTTTTCTTTTGGAGGTTCCGTTGCGAGGGCAACTTTTTGAAGAGCGACAAGGAGCTCTGATGGCTGCAACCTGGGGGTGTTGCCAAACCCAGTTCCCTGGCTGGAGGTCAGTGCTTAGGAACCGGGTGCTTAACGGCCACTCTCTGGCTCTTGCGTGGATTGCAGGAGAGTGAGTCGTATCGCGTTAGCGGGTTTCTCCCTGGGAATTTCCAGAAATCTCCCGATTTTGACGGCCCGTCGCAGTGAAGGTTACCACGGTTCACAGTAGGTGAAGTTGAACACTGGCCGAGCAACAAGTCTTGTCTGGCAACAACAAGCAACTGATTCGATCATGCATGCATAAAAGGTGTTCAAGAGTCCTTTTCGGTGTCCTGTGTATTGTGCTTCAATTGATCAGTCATGCAATTTGCAGCAGCGGTGTCAAGCAGATGTGGCCGAACTCCAGTTCGGGCTGTTGTTCACTGACGATTTGTAACAAGGCCCTGTGTTGCCTATGCAGTGGGTGAACCATAACCTTCGTTGTGAGCGTCGCTGTGGTGATCTTGCGCTCGTGCAAAAAGCGGCGCAGGTGACATGATCGCAGGAATGTGCGTGAGAGGGCTGTACACAGGCAAGAAATGCAGAGGATACTACTGTACCCTTTGAGGCCGATCTGGCAAGCCGCCGCTGGCAGTCTACATTCTCTCTCTTTTTCTTGACAGGAGAGTGCTTCTGTCCCCGTTTCGCTTTTTTTCTTCTTTTTTCCTTTTTTTTCTTCACTTTTCACTTTGCACCTGAAACGGAGTCATCCAACGAAGCTACCGTTGCTGCCCTCGTTCCTTTGGGTTTGACTGGCAGATGTTGAGCCACTGTTTTCTTCTTCATGAGACAAGCCCTGCAAACGCCATCCTCCTGAGGAACTTGGACCCTCTGAGAGGCAAGCTGTGTGATCCTTCAAGTCCTGGCCATGCCTTGTGGATCGTCTCCGCAATCCGGGAAGACTGGTGCTCTACCCTGCGGTGTATTTTTGTTTGGGATGTCCCCCCTTCTTGGCTTAGATCGTTTGGTGCGCTACCCTGCGGTGTTCTTTTTTTTGCGATCTCCCCTTTTTCTGGCTTAGATGGCGAGGTTCCTTGAGAGGAACGCCTTGAGCCACTCAGGCCGGAGCCACGGCAGGGCGTGCGGCACTCAAATGGCGCGCCATGGCATCCCAAGAGAACACTTCGGCGCAGGGGATAAAACCAACAACACGAAACGAGGGAAAGAAAAACAGAAAAAAGGGGGGGCCGGGGGGGGGGCGTTTTTTTTCTCTTTTTTTTTCTCGAATCCTTGAGGCTAAGCATGAGGCCAAGGGGCCGCCCTTCGGGCCGGAAGCACGGGAGCCAAGAGAGTGCCAGCTCGGAACCTGCGGCGGGCTCTTTGGGCTCAGCACCTTTAGGTCGAAGGGGCTGAGGAACTACTAATGTGTGGATGTGCTTTTTTGTAAAGGGCACCCCCCAAAAAAAAACAGAGAGAAGGACACTATACGTAAATCATGTGGTGGTGTTGCTTTTGTTTTGAAAAGGAGGCACCCTCAAAATGCACTCCCACTTGTTTGCCATGGTTTTGGTTTTATGGTGCCCAAACCTCCTCCATTCTATTTATTTACCCCCTATTTGGCACATCTACCAACGGACCCCCGAGGCGACCAACGAAACGCAGACGTTCCTTGCACATGGCGCCCATGCTGCGTCATCACGCGACTAACAAACCAGTGGTAGTCTACAGTAGTTTGGTTGGACGCCCAAACTTCCCGCCAAAACTTCCCGGGGCCACCGAAGCACCGACATGTTCCCACGTCTTGCGTTAATGGCCTGCTTTTCCAGGGGTCCCTATATTTCCCTTTTTGGCGGTTTTAAAGAGTGTCCCTTAGTGGGGGTGATGTTTTCAGGGGAAATATAGGGAGCCCTGTTTTATTGAGTCCGGAGTCTCTTTGCTGAGGCTGCCTTGCGGTCGCCGCTTTTTGTACACATTGCAGAATCCCGCCCAAACAGAACACCCGGTGATCCAAATCCCGCCAAATAGCACTGCTCCCGATGCACCAGGAGTTTTCTCTCGGGACGACTGAATTTCCCATGTGCATTGCAAGGAAAGGGACACAGGCTGTGGGCTTGCATGAACGACAGCCAAAGGACCAAATTTGGCTCCAGCCCAGAGTAGCTACAATACTCGGAAGAGGCGCAACAGGCGCGAGTTTCAATTGGGATGGCGGACATGGGGCTCGAGACAGTTGGCAGAGACCCATGAGAATGCGACTTGTCTCCCCTTTTCTTCGTTTTTGGGGATGAAGGGAAGCAAATGAGTGTTCCTCCTATTTGGCGACCACCCGGAAGAACTTCTGGCTTGATACTCGTGAATAAATCTGTGCATAGTGCACAGTGGGCACCACCAGCGACTCAAACAGATTGACATTTTGGCAACAATAAGTTGCCAACAGACTTGTTGCAGACTTACCGGTACACAAAGAGTAACCGAAGCTTTCGACATTTGCGCGCGTGTTTATTTTTTCTCCGAGGGTACATGTTTGGTGGTTTTGAAGGGGACACCCCCTCAAAAAAGACACGCCCAACTTGGTGCCTTGCGGAGGCATGTTGTGCAGTCCACTTGGAGAAGAAAATGCGAGCAAGTTATTTGGCAAGATTTCTGAGCCGGATTGGATCCAGCCTCTTGACCTTTGGGTTTCCTAAGTTGATGGCTAGAACATTCAACTGGAAACACCGTGGGGACATGCATGCCCACCTAAATGCAGTCCACCAAAGGGTCCCCATCAAATTCACACCTTTTAGCAAGATGCCAAACATTAACCAGCGGTTTCATTGTCCTTTCGGCAATTGGCAGGCTGAACAACAAGTTTCGCCAAAAATTATCAAAACTTGGCCTTTGAGAAGCTAGCCGCGATCATCCGTGCCTTTTCGTTTTCCCGGAGGACTGCCGCAGAAGATGGCAAATGATGATGCACACATGTTGGGAGGGTGACTCGGCGAGAAAGTGCACCTTGAACTCCGGCTGAATGGGCTGCTCTGTCCATCAGAGGACACCACGGACACCAGCACTTCAAAACATACTGTGGATGGACGAAATCCTGCACCACTTTAAAACCCTGGCACTGGGAAATCAAGGATTTCGTCCATCCACAGTATGGGTGTGAATCTCAATCAGAAGAATCCTCACAAATGCGTGGGACATAGATTTCCCTGTACATGATGCCCGCCAAGGGGTCTACACACACACACACACACGCTTCACAACCCACACGACCACACCAAACACACGAAACACACGAAACACATGAAACAGACGAAACACACGAAACACACGAACGCACGCAAGCATGCACCTACGCACCCACCCACCCACCCACTCACCCACCCACCCACCCACCCACCCACCCACACACACACACACACACAGACAGACACGCCTACACACACGCACACACACACACACAACACACCAGACACCACACAGCACACAACACACAACATGCAACGTGAAACACGCAACACGCGTCACTCGCCACGCGCCACACGCCGCACGACATGCCACATGCCACACGCCGCACGCCGCATGCCACACGCACCACAGCTGCACAAAGCACGCAGCAACCCGCAACACGCAGCACGGAGCACGTAACACGCAGCGCACAATCCACTCCACACACACAATTCAACACAAACCACCTCGCCCGCAACACGCCCCACGCCCCACGTCCACGCACCACGCGCTACCAACCACCTACCCTGCAGCGCGCAGCACGCAGTGCGGAGCACGTAGCGCTCAGCGCGTAGCATGCAGCGCGCAGTCCGCGCACGCGCCGCGCGCCGCCGTGACCATGCAACAACGCAACATGCGACACAACGCGCAACACGCGCCACGCAACACACCACGCACGCAACACGTGCGTGACTCGCACGCAACACAAACGCCACGCGCACGCAGCACGCACGCAGCACGCGCGTGCACGCACGAACACAAAACAAAGACAACAGGAAACGCAAAATAATACGCAATCGCCCGCGCGCACGCCCGCACGCCTGCACGGCTCCACGCGCCGCATACTCCCACACGCCCGCACGCCTGCACGGCTCCACGCGCCCGCACAAACACGCACCCACGCCCGCACGCCCGCCCGCCCGCCCGCACGCCCGCGTGCGCCCGCGCACGTGCACGCACTTTCAATCAACCACACCCACCCACACCTCACACATACACGCACGTGCTCACACAGGCACTTGCGTACGCGCGCACGCACGCACGCGAGCACGCACACGCACATGCGCAGGCGCACACACCCACACACGCACCCACCCACACACACACCCACAAACACCCACACGCACACACACAAAGAAACGAACCAACGAACGAAGGAACGAACGAACCCAACCACACACACACACGAACGCACGCACACACTCACGCACGCATACACACACACACACCCACGCACACCCACGCAGACGCACACACAGACACACAGACACACAGACACACACACACACACACAGACACACACAGACACACACAGACACACACAGACACACACAGACACACACAGACACACACAGACACACACAGACACACACAGACACACACAGACACACACAGACACACACAGACACACACAGACACACACAGACACACACAGACACACACAGACACACACACACAGACACACACACAGACACACACACACAGACACACACACAGACACACACACACAGGCACACGCACACAGACACACACACACACACAGACACACACACACACACCCACACCCACACCCACACCCACACCCACGCACACCCACACAGACATACACACACACACACAAACACACACACACACCCACACACCACACACCACACACACACCACACACAGCGCACCCGCGCCCGCACCCGCACGCGCACGCGCACGCGCAGGCGCAGGCGCAGGCGCAGGCGCAGGCGCAGGCGCAGGCGCAAGCGCAGGCGCAGGTGCAGGGCGCAGGCGTAGGCGCAGGCGCAGGCGCAGGCGCAGGCACGCGCGCACGCGCGCGCACGCGCGCACGCGCGCACGCGCGCACGCGCACACGCGCACAAGCGCACACGCGCACACGCGCACACGCGCACACGCGCACACCGCCACACGCACGCACACACGCACGCGCACGCGCACACGCTCAGGCACACGCGCACGCACACGCACACGCATCGCGCACGCGTCACGCTCATGCATCACGCGCGTTACGCGCACGCGTCACCCGCACACACAAACACACGCGCACGCGGGCACGAGGACATGCGAGCGGATACGCGTACGCACACGCATGCGCATAGTCATACGCGCGCTTGCACACGCACACGCACGCGCGCACACACCCATTCACCCACCCACCCGCCCGCCCGCCCGCCCTCCCGCCCACCCACCCACCCCACCCACGCGTGCATTTTTCGACAAGGAAGCGATTGCAAGCTGGAGACAAATTGGGGGAAGCGCCAAACTGGATGGCGGCTCAGCACCGAAACGTGTACAAACTCAAAATCTATAATCACGCCCATGTGATGGCTGTTCAAGATAGGAATGCCTCTTTGGACCCTCCCGGCCCGCACTTGAAGCAGTTTGTTCAAGGGGACAGGGAGAAGTCCAATTCAGGACCCTTTCTTTGAGCAAGCCTCATGTGTGTACATAAGACCACGCTTTTAGGGCGTATTTGCACGGCTTTCCGGTGTGCTTCAGGCTCGCTATGCAGCTCTACCTGAATAACATCACCCGCGAATCTGAACACGGGAAATCCTGCGATCCCTGCGAGGCGGTGAGTGGTAAGAAAGAGGCTCGCCAGCGGAGGCGGAAGGACAAGGAGATGAAGCTTTCGGTGTGCCCTTGCTGCATTGCCAGACAAACAGGTTGCTTTGTTCTTTTGGTTTCCCTTCATATGTTGTAGCTTTTGCAGGGAGAGAAGAAGTCTGACCCTTGAGGCTATGATTTGGTTGATTGGAATGGTCGCAATGGCTGGTCTTTGTGGCCATTTTCTCAAGGACTAGGGACCCCAACAAAAACATACAAAAACCATCAAGCATGGCTGGTCGGCGTAAGCCCTGTATATACCGGATGTCCCCCCCAAGTTCCAAGATCAAGATCACCTATGGAGGCCGAGGGACTGGATTCAAAATTTCTGGGCGCGAGGCGGTCCAGACGAGCGTGGAGGGGAGCCCCCCGAATGGGTGGAAGTTGTTTCGGTTTTCCTCAAAGCAAGCCAACAAAGGGTTTCCCCATGCTCCCATGCGAGCCGAAAGCCGAAGCTGGTGCGATACCACTGCAGGCTGCCAACCTGCCATGATCGTTTCTGCGTT